ATAGAAAAGTTGTACAACACAGGCAAAAATTTTATGCCGGTTACCTTGCCCTCCTTGTCCACTGGTAAAAAAAAAACCTAGTGCTTGAGTTTTTATTTTTGAGATTTTCCACCATAATCAAAAATATACAATCATGGGATGGTAGTTACTTTAATGTATTATTCTATAATGGACTTCCTATTGGTAGGTTTCTTTGGTTATGGGACAAGGCGTGCCCACTAGTGGCAGACATTTTTGCCACTTGTGGGCTTGAAGAAGAGCTAGGCTTTCAGCTGAAAACTGACACATGCCTTGTATATTCCCTTGTGCTGATTTCAATACTACATTGAACAAGCATTTGAAACTACTAGAGTGGTATACAGTATATATATATATATATATATATAGAGAGAGAGAGAGAGAGAGAGATCAAGCTATATGAAATGATATAAATAAGAAATATAATCATTTATGCATTATATCATCTTTTCTCTGCTTTAAAAAGATCTCTGCCAAATCTGTGGGAAGTTAATGATCTGTGTTAAATCATGTAAGAAGATTACATAACAAGCTTCTTACATTAGATGCAGAAATGACAAAACAAAGCTGGATCAAACCAAAAACACCTGTCTCGGCTTCACTCCCATACTGGTAAATGTAAGTTATTTGTATAAATAGAAGCAAAGCTCCTTCACAGTGCATTTATCTTATACACATAATAAAAGCAGTCATATCACAAAAAAAGTGGTTCCAGACATTCAGTACCTGCATTAAGACAGGCTCTGATGATAGTCAGTCTGTGAGCAGTTTATATCTCAGTTAGCAACTGCATTGGACTCCTATTGTGACTAAAATCATTTACAGTGCAAGACCAAGACTGCAGGTGATGCCAGTCTACGCAATCTGTAATTTTGCTTTGCCGTAATGCTCTCCCAGATAGTCCCACATGCTGTCGAAGTCCTTATTTCACATCATAATCAATGAGCAACATAAAAGTGCCCATGGGTGACACTGTTACAGGTTTATATAATCAACAGGGTAGGAGTCAGTCCCTGTATCCTGTGAATTAATGAATGTAAATTAAAAATGCTTTAACCAGCATCATCCAAGTGTGGATATGCAGTATAAATTGTTTACGTTATACCAGCCATACACTAGGGTGACCTGACATTCCTGGTTTCTGGGGACTGTCTGCTATTTTAAGGAGGCTATTGTGTACAAATTGTGTCCCCATGTGTGTCCCCAGTTGTAGCCTGTGTCCCCTTTTGTACCCCTACCAGGCAGCCTCTTCAAGATTTGGGTGCCAGGCATAGTGGCTGCAATGCTGGATTTCTTTTTTCCGGCACTAGAGCATTTCTTTTTTCCTCATTGTTATCAGTATTTTGTGAGTGCAGTATATACAGTAAACAGACACATGTTCTGTTTTATCATCCCCCTTTAAACCACTCCTACCGTTGGAATACAGTGTTCATGTATTTTGTGCAACAACTACATCAGTATTCAGTAGAGATATATTCTTCAACCAGTAGATGGCAGTGTTTATAAGTTTGTAGCTTCATCTATGGTATACTCTATGTCTTTTCTCTGAATAAAGTTTCCTGTTTTCCTTGTTGCAGTGAAGCAGAAAAGCATTTGTGGAATGTGCACTGTCTGTTCCGTAGGGCTATATACAGAATTTCTAACACCTACCATTAGATGCAATCCTGCCATACACACAATTTATCACTAGTGTGTCTAGTGCACCACAATTTGTTTCTGGAATCAATCTGAGAATGCCCCAGGTGTTTCCTAATGCTACTTGTTCTCACATGTTGTCACATTGTTTTGAATTTTTAACTGGAAAGCTAGGCAAATTGCCTATACGGGCATTGTTAAGGTTTACATATTATCTATTCTGTTTAAATATTGGTTAAAATGGAGGGGCTTGATTTTGTGGGTGTGTTTAAAAGTGGGGGTGCTCAGTAGAGTGCCCCATTTTGAAAATCTGGTCATCTCTTATGGGACCAAACAATAGTCTAGGCCACTCACCTACAAGTTTAATGTTGCTTAAATTTGACTATGTACTCTCACTGTCTGTTAAGATGTTTTAGCCTCTGTGTAATGTATTTGTCATTATTCTCTTCTGAAAACCAATAACAATGATTGTAATAAAAATCTAGTCACCTTACCATACATATCCTAAAGTATTACTCAACCCAGGACTCTGCATTCATTATATCTGGTCTCCAACAGTGCAGAGAACATGGAAATGTAATTATTTTAGTAAATACAAACTGCTAAATACTTTTTCTCATCAGCAGTTAAACCGAGCACTGGTTAAAGCTTGTAGGAGGAGTTTTCTCTAGGAGAATGCAGAACCCCTGACCTCTGTCTGGGCAGTGCTGAATGGCCCTGTGCTGATCACATGCACTCTCCAAAGAAAAAAAAATCCTCTCTAGCAATACACACCAAATTGAGCTTGTGCAGTGTCACCACAAGATATGTCTTATCAGGAGATAAGAGGGGAGCTCTGGAAGAAGGGGAGAAGTCAGGATCAAACACCCTTTTTACACAATGCAGAGGATTAACCCCTTAGGCTCCACAGTGAGTATAACAAGCATGCTTACTGCATATACAGACTGATTTTACTGTTGTAGGTTTAGTAACACTTTAATATTTGCAAGCTACACCATATTGCCAAAAGTATTGGGACGCCTGCCTTTACACGCACATGAACTTTAATGGCATCCCTGTTTTAATCTGTAGGGTTCAATATTGAGTTGGCCCTGCCCTTTGCAGCTATAACAGCTTCAACTCTTCTGGGAAGGCTATCCGCAAGGTTTAGGAGTGTGTCTATGGGAATGTTTCACCATTCTTCCAAAAGCACATTTGTGAGGTCATGTACTGATGTCAGACGAGAAGGCCTGGCTCACACTTTAATTCATCCCAAAGGTGTTCTATCAGGTTGAGGTCAGCTCATCTATTTCTTTATGGACCTTGCTTTGTACACTGGTGTGCAGTCATGTTGGAACAGGAAGGGGCCAACCCCAAACTGTTCCCACAAAGTTGGGAGGATGAAATTGTCCAAAATGTCTTGGTATGCTGACGCCTTAAGACTTCTCTCCGCTACAATTAAGGGGCCAAGCCCAACCCCTGAAAGACAACCCCACACCATAGTCCCCCCTCCACCAAACATCACATTTGGCACAATGCAGTCAGGCAAGTACTGTTCTCCTGGCAACTGCCTAACCCAGACACATCCATTGGATTTCCAGACACAGAAGCGTAATTTGTCACTCCAGAGAACTTGCTTTCACTGCTCTAGAGTCCAGTGGCGACGTGCTTTACGCCACTGCATCCGACGCTTTGCATTGCACTTGGTGATGTAAGGCTTGGATGCAGCTGCTCAGCCATGGAAACCCATTCCATGAAGCTCTTTATGAACATTTGTGCTAATCTGAAGGCCACACAAGTTTGGAGGTCTTTAGCTATTGACTCTGCAGACAGTTGGCAACTTTTGCGTACTATGCACTTCAGTATGCGCTGACCCCGCTTTGTCATTTTACATACCCTATCACTTTGTGGCTGAGTTGCTGTTGTTCCCAGTTGCTTCCACTTTGTTATAATATCACTAACAGTTGACCATGGAATATTTAGTAGCAAAGAAATTTCATGGTTGGACTTATGCACAGGTGGCAACCTATCACGGTACCACGCTTGAATTCACTGAGCTCCTGAGAGCGACCCATTCTTTCACAAAGTTTTGTAGAATTAGGCTGGCCATACATTATACAATTATCTTCCAATTTTCTGCCCAATTTCCTTTAGATTTACCTTTAACTGTGTAGTGCAAGGGCCTGCCTAATTGGATACAACTGAAAGTGTTGTTTAGGTTTGTCCTCCTATTATATGGTTTTTGGTAAATCTAAACCAAAAATCTCCAGATAATTGTATAATGTATGGCCAGCCTTAGTCTGCATGCCTAGGTGCTTGATTTTATACACCTGTGGCCATGGAGGGGATTGGAACACCTGAATCCAATGATCAGGTGGGCTGGCCCAATACATTTGGCAATATAGTGTATGCGAGCATAGTGATCACTGAAAGTATTGCATTCAGAAATGTACTGTCATATTCTTAAGTTGCTGCTGTTTCTGTTTAGTCATAGAAAAAAGGTTTTTCCATTTGCAGTGCACGTGCTGCACTAGTACGACAGGAAAAAAATGTCACTATGGGGCTTGGAACTTATCCAATCAAAATAAAAATGGAAGGTCTCTCAGAACCTGCCATGCTTAGAAAAATATTTTCCCATGTACTTCATGTGAGTACTGTAGTACTATAGTTTGCTCAACTCTGATAGCAAGTGCCTTAATAGCATTGTACCCAGCCAGTGCAATTAATATACAAGTGCTCCAAAAAGTCTAAGGTCCCTATTTCATATGAATACATACATGCATACACATACTGTACTAAGGCTAATTTGGACAGGAGCCAATAAACCATGTCTTTGGAGTATGGGAGGAAGCCAGAGCACCCAGAGGAAACCCACGCAAGCACGGAAAGAACATGTTAATTCCATGCAGATAGTGTCCTGGCCAAATATCCTAATCACAGTAAACTGCAAATTTGTATTATTTATAGCATACATGGAGGATAACAGAAGAGTAGAAATGAGGGTAGGAGCTAGCAACATATTGGTTGCTGTCACATTTTTAGATCCGTGTAATGAATATATAATAGTATGTGTATGTATAAATGTAAATTAGGGACTTTAGATTGTATTCCCTTTGAGGGTTAGGGACTGATGTGAATGTACAATACATATGGAATGCGCTGCATAAAATTGATGGTGCTATATAAGTACCTGAAATAACAATAACTGTCAGTACATCTGTGGAATAGACAGAACAGACGGGTGGATATGGTAAACAAACCCATACCTGTACCATGTAAATACTGTATTAACACTGACAGTCTTTAATTTTTAATATTATCATCATTTTAGTTAGGTGGACTATGTGAAAGTACATCAGTCTATATACCTTTCAGTTTTTCTCCAAACATTGTAAGGAAGATAGTAAAGTTGATAGGCCCAGGTGCTTCCTTAACCATGTCTTCAAGCTCTTCAGATTTCACATTGATCCTCCCTGTGACAGAAAGACATAGAACATTATTAAAGTAACCAACCAACTATATTTTATTTATGTATATGGATGCAGTATTTTTCTAAACCCCTCTTGTAGAAAGCCAAGAGCTTTGCTCAGACTGACTGTATGAAGTTTATTTACAAAAGCTGGAGAGTGCAAAGTCAGGCTCACTTCTGCATAGAAACCAATCAGCTTCCAGGTTTTATTAGCAAAGCTTAATTGAACAAACTGAGGTTAGAAGCTGATTGGTTTCTATGCAGAAGTGAGCCTGATTTTGCACTCTCCAGCTTTAGTAAATAAACCCCTATGTGTCTGTTGGTGTTCTCCCAGTGCTGTATCTGTCTATGGACCTTCTGTTTTATGGATGTTTGATGACCAGCAGGCTTTGGGAGACCTGGTTTGCCAGCTGGAAAGATGATTAATATTAGAGACACTTCTTGGTATGTGGTTTATCTTCCTAGACTTTAGCCTGGTGAAGATGCTACTGTAACAACTATCTTTTTCTCTCGGGACTTTGTGCCTAGGATTTGGAATGCTAGAAGGATTTATCCTCCTAGTAGGAGTCCAAGAAGATACTGACTGCCAGGTCTGGAGGTTTTTGGTCTAGAGCAGTGGTCGGCAAGCCGCGGCTCGCGAGCCACATGCGGCTCTTTACCCAGTCTAATGCGGCTCTTCTGTGTGCCGGGCGCCTGCTCCCCTCCCTCCTCTCGGTCGGCCGCTCCCCTGCCTCCTCTCGGTTGGCAGCCCCAAAAGTCCGCGCGGACCTTTTAATCCGGCTTGCGGATGTGGCTGTCAGGATGTGTGTAGGCGGGGCAGCGTGCCGAACGTGAGGGGAGGGGAGCTAGGCTCCTCTCACAGTCCGCCCTGAAGACCCGAACGGCGCGGGAAGACAGCGAGAGGAACGCAAAAGGTAAGTGAATTGACACGGGGGACTTGGCTTACTAGAAGGGGGGGGGGGGGAATAGTACTGTGGGGGATGAAATACTATATGAGGGATGAATTACTTTATGAGGGATGAAATACTATATGGGGGGATGAAATACTATATGGGGGATGAATTACTATATCAGGGATGAATTACTATATGAGGGATGAAATACTATATGGGGGGATGAAATACTATATGGGGGGGATGAAATACTATATGGGGGGATGAATTACTATATGAGGGATGAAATACTATATGGGGGGATGAAATACTATATGAGGGATGAAATACTATATGGGGGATGAATTACTATATGAGGGATGAATTACTGTATGAGGGATGAAATACTATATGGGGGATGAAATACTATATGAGGGATGAAATACTATATGAGGGGATGAAATACTATATGGGGGGATGAAATACTGGGGATGAAATACTATGGGGGATGAAATACTATATGAGGGATGAAATACTATATGAGGGATGAAATACTATATGAGGGATGAATTACTATATGAGGGATGAAATACTATATGGGGGGATGAAATACTATATGGGGGATGAAATACTATATGGGGGGATGAAATACTATATGAGTGGGGATGAATTACTATATGAGGGGATGAAATACTATATGGGGGGATGAAATACTATATGGGGGGATGAAATACTATATGAGGGATGAATTACTATATGGGGGGATGAAATACTATATGAGGGATGAATTACTATATGAGGGATGAAATACTATATGAGGGATGAAATACTATATGGGGGGATGAAATACTATATGAGGGGATGAAATACTATATGGGGGGATGAAATACTATATGAGGGATGAAATACTATATGAGGGATGAATTACTATATGGGGGATGAAATACTATATGAGGGATGAAATACTATATGGGGGATGAAATACTATATGGGGGATGAAATACTATACGGGGGATGAAATACTATACGGGGGATGAAATACTATACGAGGGATGAAATACTATACGGGGGATGAATTGCTATGGGGGATGAATTACTATATGGGGGATGAATTACTATGGGGGATGAATTACTATATGGAGGATGAATTACTATATGGGGGATGAATTACTATATGGGGGATGAATTACTATGGGGGATGAATTACTATGGGGGATGAATTACACTATGGGGGATGAATTACACTATGGGGGATGAATTACTATATGGGGGATGAATTACTATGGGGGATGAATTACTATATGGGAGATGTATTTTCAGTTTTAAAAATGTGGCTCTCAAAATAAATTTCAATCATGGTTTTGGCGAGATTTGGCTCAGTTGAAAAAAAAGGTTGCCCACCACTGGTCTAGAGGAAGCAAACTGATGACTGTGAACGGCTGAGTGGAAAGTAAATACAAGAACCTTCCCTTGGAACAGAAAGGTGGAGCTACCACCAGAACCTCAATTGCTAAGGCTAAGGCAAGCCCTGTGAGAGGGGGACCTAGAAAGTTTAGAAAGATGTACAGAATGCCAGAGACTGTGTTCCATGTAGAAACCTTCAGGTATCCTGTGCTCCCTCTACCCTCCTTCCTATTTTCCATGACTTAGTGCTACAAATCTCTTCAAGTTAAATTATGAAGTGAATGACACCCATCTTTTTGCTATCCTGAGACAAGAATCACTCCCTGTGACAAATGTACCTACAAACCTTTTACCAAGTAAGTGAGCTTAGGGCATATGCAGTGTAGCTAGTTGCTAGCTGACGATCAGAATTGAATTCAGAATAGTGCTTCAAATGGCTTATACATCTATTTTGCCTTAGCTTTGTGCCACACAGGCCAATGCAGAGCTTGGTGCGTGTAAGCAGTCATTATACAACAATTTGTTTTCATTTCTGTTAGTCCAAAACAGTCCTCATCAGTTTAAACAATTTTTTAGTATAAGTAAAATTTTGATCCCCCCGGAAACAGTGCTCCTAATTTTAGATTTGAGTCCTGCAGCACAGAAGTCTTCGAGTACTGTTATGTTTTCATGGTAAGAATTCCAGACTATGTTTAAAAACATGTTGTTCTGAGAAAAAGGTCTCTGTGTTGCTGTAGGCACCAAAGATTGTGTCAATGCAGATTCAAGTGGTAGAAAGCATAAGTACCCAAAGTACACATAACTTTGGGTGAGAAACTATGTGATATAGGTCATTGTGCTGCATACCTTTGAATAAAAACAGCAAGTTCACTTATTTGGTATGCCCTCCTTGCCTACGTTCAAACACTGCTAAAAATAAAAAGGGAAGAAAATCCCCCATAGGGGAGAAAAAAAATAATCAATAAACTTACCTTATCCTAGATTCCATTGACTAGGTTAGGTTGTGGTCAGAATCCCTTCAGGGAATGCCAAGCATCCCAAATCTCACAAGATGTCACTACTACACTGTGCTATAGTGTCAACTTGCATGATCTGGGCTACTTGACATGCCCAGGCTCTCAATAGTGCCTCACAGAGTCCTCAATAGTGCCTCACAGAGTTAGAGATATTGATCCCGTGGCATGTGTTTTTGCTGTAAGAAAAGTGGGCATCTTAGTGGGCCAGAGGAACCCATCTAAGGTTGAGCATACACCGTAAGATTTCATTAATTCGGCCCAAAGGCTGAAAAAGAAAAAACCTATAGATTCCCCCATATGTAAGCCATGTGAGGCTGTAGTGTCCCCTTCCTGCTATTGTATTCTGACAGCTGGCACCCACAGCTGTAAGAATACTCTGTAACACCTAGCTATAAATGTAAGATGCAAGATGCTGAAGCCAGCACAAGATGGCAGTGTCCTGCAGAGCAGTAGCATTCACATGTTGAAGAACAGTTCAATGGAACTTGTATGCTGAATCGCATGACTTTGCTAAGGAGCAGTGCAATTAGAAACTACATTTCCCAGAAGAGCTGACACGTGGGAAGGGGCATATATATATCAAATCCCGGGAGACTGGACCGAAAGTGAAGAGAGGTCTAGATAGAGGAGTGTGCTGATTGCTGGAGGATCAGACCAGGCCACAGAAAGAGAGAGAGGAGGCAAGGAGAATCTGCTGATCGCTGATCTTGCCACTTGATCCAGAGAGCTAATCTGCCAGCAGGAATGCTGCAGGACTAGAGAAGGCAGGGAAGCCGCATCTGAGGAAAGAGAAAGACCGCCAGAATTCACCATATGCCATCGCTTGGATGACAAACTGCCAAGCACTACCAAAAGAGAGGAACACTGACACTTGCTCAACACTGATAGCAGGACAGCCATCCCACAGGCCGAACCACAGTTGTGTCATCAACATCATCAATTTACCTTTTTAAAGAGACCTTTTCCTATTGTGCCAACAGTCCTGCAGTCTAGAGAGGAGCTGCTCTGTGTCATCAATCACTTCTGCCAGCTCAACATCCTCTTGCCTTAAATCTACTAGTGACCAGTGCATTTAAAGGGACATTACACCAGTCCATTGCTACTTTCAGGTGGAGTGCTGTTCCTCTTTTGCTTTATTGCATTGTTCTTCAGAGAACCACCATTCACACGTCTTCTCACTGTATATCAAATGGGCCCCATCATGCACGCAGAAGCTCTTTATTTTAGGCTACATTCCCGCTATCAGGTTCTGAGGGCCCAAAGTGAGCTAGCCTTGCCTGTTTTGATAGTTCTCGTTGCTCACTGGGGACTGTAAAGCCACCTAAGGTTGAAGATATTTGGTTAGTTTCTGAAAGGCAGGCCTGCTAACACTGTGTTGTCTTTTCCTTGTTTAAAGTTGACACAAGTGAGAGCTGACTCTGCATATGCTGTTTTTGTTTAAGTTGCATAGCCAAGCTGCATTTAAACATGCTATAAACCTCTAACCAGTTTACTCCAATCAGTGCGTGAGTGTACTTTTTGATGGCAATTTATTCCAGTTAAGAGTGTATTGTCATGTCAGCAGGGGTTGGGCTTTCAGAGAGGGGTCCAGAGCAGCAGGGAGCCTGAAAAAAATCCAGCAACTCCTTAGGGGGCAGTGATACAACTCCAACAATGACTGCATCTGATTGGATGCAGCCGCTCTTTGACTGACAGTTGTCTGCCTGTTTCTTTTGATTTTCAAATGGAAGAATGTCGGGCAGGAGGGGGCCAAGAAGGTTATTCACAGCTAAAAGTTTGGCTGGTTCATCCAGAACCAGATGAGATTTGTTAATACCATTAACCAATACCAATATCACCATTCACCAATAAAATTAATTAGGATTTTAATTGAACAGGTTCTTTTTGTATCTTTTTAGACAGTAATTTGGCTGCTAGTTTTATGCATCTGGTCTTAGTTGAGTCTTATTTGCCCTAATAAACCTTAAAACAGTTGAGGAGGCCTTATCTTGTGAATGTTAGTTTAAACACTACCTGACTGATGAAAAAAAATGTCATGTATTAGATCAGGGTCATAGCTAAAAATGACAGGGTACAATAGTAAAATCAAATTTGGAAGGTTTACTTCACCCACAGCTCGAATTCCATCTAGTTCATCTGGAACTGGTTAAAATTCACTTTGCGTATGGCCAGCTTAAGTGACCAGGTATTTCCTACCGTTGCTAGTGAATTTCTAACCACTACCAAAAAGTTAGTTGTAAACCCTTACATATACCCAGTGAAGTGACTGACCTCAGGTGAAACACAGAGATTAAACAAATCCTCTTACATAGGTTGTACCTGTTTTTCTGCGGCCGTATTTCCTCTACATTCATTTAAAGTGCAGAACTTTCATAGGATCTCTCAGCTCTGAAAAACAGGGGGCATGGAGCTAAAAGTACATCAGTGAGGGGAGCTCTGACAGATGACTGCACACAGGAACAGAGCTGAGGTTGTCAGTCAAACTTGTCAGAAGTGACTCATGCTAATAGCAGAGGAATGAGGCAGCAGATAGAGATGACACTTAGTGTTCTGGATTAAGACAAGTACACACTATAGAGGGATATGCTTTGTTCATATTTAATGTCTGAGGTTTACAAATACTTTAATTTGGATTTTAATTAAACAGCCTTTTGTACATTTTTAAACAGTAATTTGACTGCTAGTTTTATACAAGTATTCTTAGTTGAGTCCTTGGGATTCCCTTTTCTACAGTTACCCAAATTTTTGAAAGTGCTAACTATGGATGGTTTCATTATGGGTTGTCTCCTTTAAGAGCCCTAATGTTTTAGTTGACATATAATAATTCTGCCCCATTAAACCTCAGTTCAACTAAGGAGGCCTTCTATTATCAATGCTACTCTGAATACTACCTGACTTATGAAAAACATGGCATGTATTAGATCAGGGACATAACTAGAAATTACAAGCTATAATAGCAAAAGCAACTAAGATCCTTTGGAAGGCTTACATCACTCTTCAAAGTAGACCTAATAATGTGTAACATTTATCCTTCAATATCTAACACTGCGGAATAACATTTGTCTTTAAAGTGGTTGTAAACCTCAGACATGAAATATGAACACAACATGTTCCTTTATAGTGTGTACTTGTCTCAATCCAGAACAATAAGCGTCATCTCTGTCTGCTGCCTCATTCTTCTGCTATTAGCAGGAATCACTTATGATGAGTTTTCCTGACACCAATGAAAAATGGTGAGGGTGAGAGATCTCCCGTACACAGCCTGTGATTGACAGCTCAGCTCTGTTTCTCTGTGTTGTGTAATGAGGGGTGTGTCCCTTCCCACCAATCAGCTCCCAGAGCACCCCTCACTAAGTTCTGCAGTGCGTAATTTAAACTCTTCGCCACTTGTTTTCTGAAAGCTCAGACAAGCTTTATGAACCTGGACTGATGAAGAGAAGAGAAGACTGCAGAAAAACAGGTAAAATTTATGTAGGAGGATTTGTCTCATCTCTGTGTATCACCTGAGACCAGTCAGTTCATTGAGTATATGTAAGATTTACAACTACTTTAAAGCAATCTGCTAGGTTTATAAACTTTATATTTGATTTATTCAAAATAAAGCTGACCATCATACATGGCTCTGATTTCAAATGATTCCTGCAGAATCAGCTGAAATTTGAACCGTGGGTGATCCTGTTAGCACCAGCCGGCTCAACAAATTTTGACTGGAAAATCAAAAGAGCAAATACGGTCAATGTTTCAATAAGCAACTGCAGTTGTCACGACTGTTTGAATACAATTGTTTGCAGTGTGGATGGAGGAATCTACCAGGTTTCTCTTTTCAGCCCGTAAGCAGCATGAGATAAATCTGTGCATGTATAGCTATCCTAAGTCACATTGCTATTACTGCCACTGCAAATCATTAAGCAATCAGACAATATTGTTTCTTAGCCCTTAGCAGTCATTTGATACAACGCCATGACTGAGAGAATTTAAAGTTCCTGACCTGGGAGTCAGACCTATTGTACTGCATTCTTATTCCAGGTCAGTGTGCAGCACATATGTGTGTGCGTGTGTGTGTGTATATATATATATTTTTTTTAATTTTTTTTTTTTAATTTTTATTTTTTAATATATACAGAGAGGTGAGCGTGTGTTTACAAAGGTTAACATTCCTGAACACATGTAATCATATATATTCAAAGGGATTGCTCTTCACTAAACTCCTAATGGTTCCAAACCCATAAACAAGAGGATCACATTAAATCAGTTTGGCAGACTTCCCTTTTGGCTCGCTGCACTTGACATATCTACTTTGACTCACGCAGCTTCGGTTTAAGTATAATCATTTCCTACATACTTGAGCATGTGAATTTGATTTAGATATCACTTTTCTTTTTCTTTACCCAGAGCAGCGAATGTGTCTCTCAGGTCTCCTTTATCAATGAAGCCATCTCTGTTCTGGTCCATAATGGTGAAGGCCTGGTGACAAGGAAACAGCACAGCATTAGTTAGATCCGCAGGATCTCCCATCCTCTATGATCTTCGCTTACAGCCTGTGACACATTTCACTTTCAGTTAAAAATAAGCAACAAACAAAGCCTCTGTGAATTACACACGTTTAGTATGCTAATGAATCCTGACAAGGGGTTTAATTAAAATACAATTAACCCACCCCTAGTTCCATGAACTAAATTAATACTAGGCACAATATGATGCTGGATGGCTTCCAATACATGATTAGATACAGCCAGTGTTAATTCTATATGAGAGTTTGAAAAAAAAAAAAAGGCAAAAATACAATACTGCGAAAGTGGGGTTTGCAAAGGAAAAGTTGTCTCATTTTTCCAGCATATGAGAAAATGGAATGTACTAATGTTCTCAGCCTTTAGCAGTATCAAATCAACACAATGTAGGGTCTTACATGAATGTATAACATGAGGCCTGATCTGAAAGAAATGAATGGGTTCTCTCTTTAAAAAATCAATCCAGCATTTACACCAGGGATGGCTGCATTGATTATCATAGTCTGTGACTTTGGATGTTGTGTGACCAATGAACTGGTAACCTAATATTGCCATATAAAGCTTCTAGCAGATCCCACACCTTGATATTGAGGAAAAGACACACTCTGCCCTTGAATAGGATGGAGAAATTTGATCTTTGGACTTTCTCAATGGAGAAATCAGTATGGAAATCTATTTCCGATGATTGTTTCTTCCCCTGAAAAGAGTTAGCTGGAGGGCATATGCAAACTTCCACATACTGCTTAGGGATATTAACTGAGGAGTGCCATAGACACCCTTTAGAATTCTGCCAGGGAGCAGCACCGAAAGTGTCTATGCTTGCAGACAATTCATGTACCTGTGACCATGCACTGAAGAAAGAGTGTCCACACTGCACACTCCTTCCTCAGTGCTCTCACTACTGCACTTTCTTCCAGCCACTGCCTCCATTACACTGACAGACGCATGGCCAAGGAGTTTTGTATTGGGGTTGATGGAGCCTGATGGGAACTGAGAGACTAGTTCCCTATCATGGTCTTCTATACTTTTGATTGAAAGCACATGGCAGTGGACAAAACTATAGTCATTATTTAGTCCAATAGCAGCTTTGGAATCCGCCCACTATTGTGCTTCATCAATCACAGGTAAGATGGACTAGTCTCATAGTTCCCCATCAGGCTCTACCCTCCCAACTGGCACAGCTGCTGTGAATTTGAGTTGTCATGTGGGCAGGGACTGCCGGGGAACTCTGAGACTAGTCCCCCATCAGGTTCGCCTTGCCTGTGATTGACAATAGATGGCAATGGGTGGATTCCAAAGCCTCTATTGGAATGAATAGCGACTATGCAATCCTAACACTGCCATCCACTATCAATCACAGGCAAGGCAGACCTGGTAGGGAACTAGATTCTAAGAGTTCCCTATCTGGATCCACTCGTTCAGTGTGACTTGTCTCATTGGTTGCTAGGATGCAGGTGGCGTTCATCTTTGCAACCAATAAAGTAAATATAAAACACATTGGGACATATTAAAAAAGTAATGAACACGAAACACTCCCCTCCTTCTGCACACCAACTCTGAGCTGGTCAGAGAGTTAAGTTGGGTTTGTTTACCTGCGAACTGGCAATACTTCTTTTTATATCTGTTGCAGACATAGTGACAGATTCTAGGCCAAGGCTATACTGTACAGGAGGCTAAATAGTCACATTAATCAGTAGATTTCTGATGCCATGCAGGTCTCCTGCAGACCTGTCAGAATATCTGCTTGCCATATGGGATGTACAAACAAGCAGATAATCCAACAAGAAACTTCAATGGACTATGGAGCGCTGTGGTAGTTTGTGGAAAATTACAAACTGACAGCCGCTAAGGCTGCCTGGACTTGTAGGCACTTCTTCTCAGAACTCTGTGAATGAGTGACGTGGCCATGTGGGTGGAGCCCCGCACGACCGCACTGTTTTAAAATCTGACAGCACGGGGAAACCTCCCCCTGTACTATCTGTCAAAGGGAGGGGGGGGGGCGGCAGGAGCGGCTACAGCCATGGAAACGTGTTTGATGTTCCACCCTAAAAACAGCTGGAACATGTAACATATTCCCAAAGGTGAACTTATCCTTTAACTGCATATGGTGTAAAAAAACCCTTTTATATACAAAACAGACCACATGTTATGCCAAATGGGCAAATACTCTACCTCTTTAAATTCCTGTATTTGGCTTTGATCAAACATGGAGAAAACATTTGAACCTCCATCTGCCTTCTTTTTTGCTTTCTTGGGAGACTAAAGAAAAATATAAAAATAAGTGTACAATCAATATCTGCACTTCAGTATGTACAATGATTCTTACAAATGCTTGTTAAATGACGGAACCTTTAGGCCTCGTTCACACCATATGTGCAGAAAAACTGATGGAAACTGACGCTCACTTGCAGAGACATCAGTTTTCATGTGTTTCAATAAGTTTTATACACATTTCAGATTCCTGCACAGAAAAAATCTGCACGTGATACTAGTATTGTGGTGTGAACAGGACACATAGAGAGCAATTGATTTTGCTGTGCCCTTGCAGAATGCACACCATGGTGTGAACAAGCCCTAAAAGATGAACTTAAAGTAAAAGTTACTTACAGTAATTTTCTTTCCATAAATACTTTTTATTCATTTGCAGTATGAACCTGCTAGAAACTTTGACTTACACCAGGAGAGTCAAATATGTAGTGCTGCCCTTCCCTCCTTGCACGTCATAGCCCTCTCCTCTTCTGGAAGTGTCTAATTGCTGTCTGTGCTGACCCAGCATCTCCACCCCTCCCCTTCCTGCAAAATCTTTTTCTGTAGCTGCTGGAGGAAGAGCAAAGGAGAATACTATAGAGTGTCACTAGAGTCTCAGCTCTGAGTCTACTGGGGCTGCTGACATCACATGTAGTAGGAGTCTCAGGACTACTGGATGTCTGCACAAGGGACACTATTACATATAATTAACATGTCTAAGATATATTAAGCCCCGGTTCACACTGGTGCAACATGTCATGTGCCTTGTCAGATCAAAGTTGCATGACAAGTCCTGTTTGCACCCTATTTGCGGCAATGGAAGAGGCCAAATTGGTGTGACTTTGAGACTTGCATTGACATCTGTGCATGAAGCCACAAAGATGCAGGCAAACCATACATAAGATTGCACTGATCGGCGGCTTTAAAATCGCAGTGAAGTAGCGCAATTCCAAAGCCGCATTTTGTGTGAACCAGGGATAAATGCACATACAGTATAATCTTATGGGGGACATATGCCAATTGCAGATCCCATCCAGTAAAAGCAAGCAGAGCAATGCTGCTTATTCTTCACTGGGGCTGGTAAATTAAGTGGGCCATTTTTTCTACAGTTGAACTCCAGACAGATATAAATGACATAAATAAATGCAGCTTTGTATTCATAATACACAAAATAAATGTATTTTTTTTTATGTAATTAGTTTACCATTCTTATTGCATTCTCACTTTAAAAATAATAATTAAAAAAACATAACTACGGCAATTACCTGTCCACTCACAGATCGGCTATATCACTTTCAGGTCTCTCAACTCTCTTGCTCTGGCCACGGGTGTTGGCAATCTCTTGGCCCCCTTACTAACCTGCTCTACTCTACATACAAAAATGTGAAGCCACACACTGCTAATTCTATAGAGCCTGAACAACGTTATTGATCAGTTATGAATGATACACTCCATCCACGACCTCCCTCCAATGCTCTTCAGAGCTTAGTTTGGATTAAACACAAAGCCCCGGTAGGGGGCAAAACATGCAGAGGGAGTTCATGGAGGAGTGTCCCTGGTGCTGCTGGATCAATAAAGATGTTTAATGCTCTGTAGAATCCGCAATGTGCAGCTTCACAGTTTTGTATGTAGTGTAAGTACCTGACTTGGTATCAGCAGTTCTCTATACCAGGGTTTCTCAACCTTTTTTCAGTCGAGGCACCCTTTAAAATTCTGCACAATCCCAAGGCACTCCATTCTAAAATGTAAAAAAACTGAACTAACATAACGCAACAACATCCACACATATAGGATATCCTCACTCATGTGGTGACCCCAGTGCTGATGAGTGGGGAAGAGGAGGTCCAACAAGGATGATGTGCAGGTACCTGATGTCCACCAATGACATCACTGGTTGTTAGGACGCCGGCAGCTAGAAGGTTTTAATAGTGCAGAAAAAAACCTGTGACTTTGTGTAATTAAAAAGCAGGCTTCTTCCACCCGCTGGCTTGTATACACATTTTGGGCACCTTTTAGGCATTTTGCTAAGGCACCCCTGAAGAAACATGAAGGCACCCCATAGAGCCTGGGCACCCTGGTTGAAAAAGGCTGCTCTATACAACAGCAAACAAATTGAAAAAGGGAGGATCAGGATTGTGATCCAATCAGGTTTGTTGTATGGAGATGTAATGTCAAGGGACATTCTGATAGGTGGAGAGAGCAAAGTGATGATTTCATCAGTCTGCTACTGTTCCTTTACTGTCCAATCAGAAGACTGGGTGGAAAAATGGCACCATCATATTCCGTAACTATAAATAACATAATCTACTTGGCTATGATGTGTAAGGAGGCTAAGTACTGGATCAGAACTGGATGGAAAGAAGTTCCAATGCTTTGGAAGATAAACATCTGTGTTTTAACTGTTTTCCTGCAGTTTAGCGCCTTAAAAATAGCTTAGGCATACTATGCCATGGTTTAGGCATTGCTTTACAATGTTTTCTGAATTGCTGACAACTGCTTGACATACAGTGTGTACCATGTGTATACTATTTGTTTTTTAACCAGCTTTCAGTCATGTCTGATCATGTCTATTGCCATAAATATGGGTAATAACACCTTTACTGCGAGAGAACAGTACCATTCAGATAATGATGTAGCCAAGATGTCAGCAAGGTGCTAGATGACAACTTGCTGCTTCTCCAAGCTTTAGCACCAACAGTCCAGGTAATAGATGTTAGGATTATAGGTTTTTTGTTTTTTTTTATGGTTGAACTGGATGGACTTTTGTCTTTTTTCAGCCAGACTATCTATGTAACTATGTAACTATGTTTGCACAGACTGATAATGTGATAAAAGAAGGTAATACTTCCATCATCCATCTGTGCCTGATACAAAAAGTCATCAGGAGTGAAAGTTGTGGCTCATAGCAGTATCTGGTGATTAGTATGAGGATAGGCAGCTCATATAGCTACCAAGATCTGCCTATGTTCCCTGTTTATATTCTGACCACTTATCAATTAATAAGACGTTCTCAAAAAGAGAAAAATATGATTGACAATATTCTTTGGCAGAGTGATTGTATGTTTTAAAAGATCACAGCGGTACTATTAAAATTCCTAAAGCAGCCTTTTTCACACCCCTGTACTTTATTCGCTCCGCTCAGATAATGACACCAGCCCATATCCCAAGTCCTGTGTAGAACACACACGCTCTGTGATTTCAGCTGTCTCTGTGAACACTTTGTATCAACAACTTTTCTTTTAATAATGAACCACTTACACAGTAGTGCAAAGTTCAGCTGCTACTCACTCTGAATGCACTCCTTAATTTTAAAGAATTAAAATTTTGTAAATATTGATATCTTTCATCAGTAATGCAGGGCAAGCACCATATGTAACTGGATTCACAGGATAAGTCTGTTAAATTATACATGCTTATTAAACAACATAAATTAAGATAACACATAAAAAGAGCAATGGATCAGGGTGTGTCTTTACATTCTCATGCATCCAAGAGTCTCAAAGTCTCCCCATGATACTCCTAATCTCTAAACGAGGAGAATCATTGAGGGTGGTTTCAGTTTATTGGATATTGTTCTTCCAAAGTCTACTGTCTTTTAATTACTCAACATCTGCAGGAGGAGTTTTGGCCTGAAATCTGTTTATGAGTAAAATCATTATAAAAGCTTCAGTGTGAGGGAGGTCTGCTATAGTTTCCACTCCTCATACTAGAATTAAAAAAAAAATTGAAAAAATATACCTTATAATTTCAGTCAAACTCTAGTATTAATGGTTGAAAACCCTTTTCTTGTCTTTTTTTTACGGTTTGTGGGCTGGGCTTAAATGATAGTGCACCATACTTCTAGGCTCTATATGTCAATATCATTGTTCAGGGAGAAAAATCACATTATATTTAATTGTCATTGGACCCTATATACCAGTGTAAATTATTCAGGTACCCTGAGTATCACAATGGCATATGTTTTAGTATGGCGCTCAAATGCTATTATACCATGTGCTTGTAGCCAAGGTATCATCTCATCATTGTCGCAGGAACTTAGTGTGTGCCACTGTTTTGAGAGCATATATCTCAGTGTGCCTTTCATCTAGGAGTTCTGGTGCCAGTGTCTCTTTGACATTTTGTTCCAAGCGTCAGGATGCCATGTTTCAAGGATGCTGGATCCTTGAATACCTGTATGCCATGTTTTGAAGAATTCATCAGCATGGTATTGTTCTGTGAGCCCTTGAATGCTTGTGTCAGATAGGTTTTATTCCTGAGATATCAAGCAGAGATGACCAGATTCAGGCAATTTCCTTAAGGTGGATACTTGCAGCAACAATCCTTGCATCATTTCCGTCTTCTAGTGGTGTTCTGTTGGCTTCTTCATTGTGCATTGTATGTCCTCCTGTCTCCCTGTGCCTTTACCATTTAATGGCAAGCCAGGAGGAGTTGCATTAAACTAGTTCTTCATTTCCAGGATTATTTGGTAATAGAAAGATCTGACCAGGCTGTAGTGCAGCTCTGAGTCTTCATAGCTATGGGGACAAGATTATCTATCCTCCAGTAGCTTAGCTGGGGGGGGGGGGGGGGGGGCTTTATGCATATGTTAACCCTAGAAATGTAAAATAATCTCACAGTTTAAAAGATACTTTTAACATTACAGTTTTTGAAAGTCAATAATTAGCTTGATTTGTTGCTTTTCTCTCCCAAGCTTATTAGGAGCACATGATAGAAAAGGGACAAAGTTTTCAGCATTTAATTGGCTGAACAAAAAAAAACAGAAGAGAAAAGGGACAAAGAAGCTGTGGTATTTGATGATTCTGCTGAACTGATATTCCTTCAGGGTAATGTGGAAGAGACAGAAAATAATCTACTCTGGCAACCTACAGTGCACATTCATTGTACTACTACTACCATAGTACTAGTTCCTGCCATCATTGCTGTAGTGTATTTTCTTCATTTTTACTTGCTAAATTGATCCGAGAAAAAAAACTAACACTGTTCCTGGCCATAGCTATCGCATCATGTATAGTG